GGGGGGGGGGGGGGGGGGGAGGGGATGGGGATGAAGTTTGGTTGGGTCTGTGGTGCTAAAACCCTTCAATTCTGACCCTGTTTAAGGCAAAATACATTCAAATTGCAACCCTGTTTAAGATGCTAAATAGTGAAATTGAATATTTTATTTTAAGATTAACTCCCAAGGGAACCATTTTCCATACATGGAAACAAGAAACAATGCATTTGTTAATGACGACATATCGTCGAGACATCATGACTAATTTCAGTTGTGTGTGTGATGGATCTACTGTTTACCCATTTTTCAGGGCAGTTTATCAAAATATGCACAAACATACACTGTACATGTCCTTGTCAACGGTTTAAAGTTTTCATGCTAAATATCAATTTCACTAAAAATAGTTCAAAAGCAATACAAAATAGATTATCAGTGATTCTAATAATGCCTAATTAAACATTCCTTTTGTATGTTACCAAGCACAAATTTTAAGACAGGTAGTAATACACCTATAAATGTATTCTGAGTATTTTTTTCTGTCGTTTTGTGTTTTCTCCTTTCATTCAACAGGCCTGATCTGTAACATGTAAAATATGAAATGTGATGTACATGTATGTGACGCCAAAGAATTATTTCGTTGAAAACTACAGAATGACTAGTTGATCTCAAAAGATTGTGTGAATTACAGGCTGGAATACATAGTTTTTTCAAAAATAAAAATAATTTATTATTTCGTCAAAGGGGTAACAGATATATTAGACTTCAGCAAAAAAAAATTGAATTATTACAGAGTAAGAGGCACTTTATTAAATTTGGTTGTCCAAAATTAAAGAGTTCTTGTCCAAAAAGTTTTGTCAGGTTCTTAAGCCAAGTGGAGCTCATAAAAAGAAATGAAATGGCCCCGTTGTCACAAAGCTAAAAGGAATATTTACCCTTATTTTGTCAAGTATGAGAATTGCTTTTATGATTAAGATAAATTTCAATAATTTTTACTGTAATTTGAAGTCAATTTTCAAAAGGTCTCTGTATTTTGTCTACTTAAAAATGTGCTTGTCCCAAGTACAATAATATTCATGTCCTGGAGGTTTACATGTCCAAACCAAAATAATAATTTCTACCTGTCCGGGACAATCAGACAGAGGTGTTGGTGCACCCTGTATTAGTGTTTCTTTATGAGCTTTAAATTCTAAATATCTGGTAACAAGGTATCATTATCAGACTTATTAAAAATCTAATATAGATTTTACTAACAACATAATTTTTTCCCAGTTTTGTGGCTCACAGCCACTTTGATCTTAGGCAAGAAACTATTTCTCACGTTACCTCTCCTCTCACAGGTCTTTAATTTTTTTTTTTTTTTTCACTGGCTCCATACCATTGGGGGCAATGCTGTCATGGACTAGTATCCCATCCAGGGGGGGGGGGGGGAAGTTGGGCTTTCAATAGTTTTGGGCAATTCACGATACTCAACCCAA